AAAGCCTTAACATAGAAAACAGCAAGGTATCATTGTAAGTCTACCCCCTCACCACGAATTATGTACATACTGTATATCAAACGATTCGTCTCATCAAGCTGAAGCCAAATCTATACGCAGATTGCAAATAAAGTGGATTTAAAAGAAATTACAGCTAAATCCCGCTTGTCCCGCAAGTCCCGAATCCCGCGAATCCCGTGAAGTCGCGAATCCCGCGAATCCCGGCAATCCCGCGAATCCCGACGATCCCGCAGTTTTGGACAAATTCTACCGCTGCAACTGTACGCTGTAATTGCAGTTGCAACTGTGGGCTGTCATGCAGTTGCAGCTGCTCCTAACCAACGTGGTCGAGCAATTTGAAACTCGTCCGCCCTTTGTATGCTGTCTTGGATTCGTCTTCCGAAGGAGGCGCACCGCAAAAAGCAACTCCAGGTTGCAACTAAGTTGCAATTGCAACAGCAGCTGCAACTGCGTCTGCAACTTGAACTGCAGCTTACGCTGATGTGGATTCGTCCGGAGGAGGCGGAGCGAAAGAAAAGGGGCGTATTGAAAGAAAATTGAGGGGGGTTTTCTCCGCCCAGAAGCAACATTGGGAGACCGGACCAACGCAGTTGGTCTCCTCTTGGGCCCAGTATATACATGGTATAGAAAGATCTAGAAAACTGGACAACGTAGTTTTGGGTGACGCTGCCTTTAAATAAACAAATTGCTTGTATACAGCGCACACAGAAGCATATGACACTAAAATTGAACTGTATGTATAGAAAATTATTTGCGAAAGTATTATGTAAAAATATTTGAAAACTTATGTGAAGTAATACCTTTTCCAAAATTAGATCGTCTCCAAACGTCCACCAAACGACATGAGATCGTTTGGAGCATATATTTTCATCATCAAATAAGCTGCCGATTTTTAGCATGGACGAATTCCCCAGTCAAAAATCTGTCCCTGAGCATGAAGACATTTTCATATCATTCTTTTCCTTTGTTTTTTGCCTTCATTTCTTCTCGCTCTGTTAAATTTCGCGCTCTAATGCCAAAGTCTTGTGCATGCGTTTTATTCAGCTCCAATCTGGATTTTCACTCTATCTTACTTTTTTTCTTTCAGAGTAGCAAATTTTTCTTGTATTCATCTTCTCCCAAGCAGGCAGGTCAAAGGGGACTTCGTAAAACTTCCGAAAGTTAGGGGAGACTTCGTTTTCAGAAATCCTAGAAACCGACTCGTGTCGGGCCCTGCTCCCACTGTACTGAATGTGGTGCTTGCGTCTGCTTCAGCTGCTCAATTGAATATCAAAGCTTTTTCGTGGTTAGAGCTCAAAGCACCAAATCTAACACAACAAGATCCATTAAAAATGTGGAAGGATTTGATCAGCGCGTTGTACAAGCGCTCACGAAATTTCGACGAGATATGCGATCTTTACATTTTGGGCAAAATTCATGAGGACGTGTTTTCGTAGGCTCGTAACTCGGCGAATTTCGCAGACTAGAGCCTGAGTAATGCACCATTTGATAGCACAGTTCCTAGTAACTTTGACTTAGAAAAGCAAGCAGGCAGGGTTTATGAAAAATACGCGAGAAGTGCGGCCAAAGTTACTCACTTTCGTGATGCAGTTACAATCACCTCACCGTATCTCTCCAAAAAGACCCTGTAATCCTCAAAGACCACGATTTTCGTAAAGAGCGTGTTCGAAAACCTCTATAAGCGCAGTTTCCTTACAATTCCTGAGCATCAACATTTTGACCAAAATCCATCGGCGAGCTTCTGGAGCGTAAAACGAGAAAAAATAGAATAATCCGAACATATCGGAAAACTTGCCCACGGAGGTTATCCGACCCGCTGATTTCGAACATAACATCTGCTTAGCAAGATAGCTTCGTATCCTGCGGCTACGGCGAGTAGGCTTTGGGACGACAAGATTTTTCCATAACTCACCAGCCGTTCTATTTCCTTTGAAAAGAAACCTGCGGCGGCTATCTAACGTATCATAATCTACAGAAAAAATGCTATCGAAAGATCCTTGCTGGAAAGTGCTTGGGACAATGCTCGCTGCTTTATACCTTCGCGAAAAGACGTCCTCAGAAAGGTTCAAGAATACTGAAATCGAAATATCAAGGACATGCTGTAATGGGAAGATTCGCCTTGATGAGCTGAGCAAGGCGCTGCTTTCAGATTCAAAATATATTTATTCCGAAGGAAGTTGCGGCGAGTAGCATTTAGAAACGCGTGATTCTTCCAAAACTCACCAACGCTTCTATGTCCTTTGAAAAAAAGCCTGAGCCTATTTTTTAGCGCACAATAATCTACAAGAACAGTATTATCGAATAGTACTCAGTAAAGTCTTCTATGTTGGGTAGGCGTTGCTTCACATATTCGCGAAAGGACCTCCGCAGAACAAATTGAAAAAACTGGAAACGGAATTTCGAAGACATCGTACCCCCTACTTCCAATATACCAGAAGATTCTCCGCGCCGAGCTGAATCGAACGGTGGCTTTGGATTCAGAATTCTTCCACTCTGAAGCGAGATATGGCCACGCGACGCTGATGTATGGACATGTCCATATATTCGCGTCTATTTTTCAAAAAATGTGAGCGGTATTATATCCAAGAGCTCATTATACAGAAGGCACATGGTAGTACTTATATATGCCTTTACTAAATTTTTCATCGCGTAGAAATCGAGAAAAAAGAGAGTTCAAAAATGGCAAGTTTGGCAAGCAAAAATGGCATCCCCTCCCCCACCCCACGTATGTATGTCATTGTGCATGTGCTCTTATAACCAAAAAATACCAAGTTTTACATGAAAAACCCCAAAAAGTGGCGTTTTGGCATTTTCAGTCCATCTTGTTTCTGCGCTCCGAAAAAAATTTGAAAACCAAGTTGGAAATCCATGGGAAGTTTCCGGAAAAAATTTAAGGTAGCTAAAAAAATTTTGATTTTCGGCTCCGAACATTATCTGGATTACGACTTATTGTTAGATGGATCCTTGGTAGTCTTCTTGTAGAGCTTGCCTCGCTCTATCAAAAAATACCCTAAGTAGTTAGGAAACCAAAAACAGCTCAATTGTTTTGGAGAAGGAGTTTACTTTTGGGACAACCTAATACATCACCAAGCATGCCGCTCGTTTTTGAGAATCTGTACAATATGGATTGTATTTCGCGGTAGTAGGCATGAAGCAGAAAAAAATAACACAGCTGATATAAGTGCCTATGCTCGAGCATTTCACATCAAATATTCTTTCCTGTTAAGTTTATACGACTGCTTAGCTTGATTTAAGCTATAGAAATGTGGTCGAACACGCTGCAAACATTATTTATTTGATTGCAGATTGGCTCCGACATTCAGATCTTGGCACCTTTCACTTCACTAAAATCCACAGGCTGTCACAGTATTGACATTGATACCCCTTATCGTGGGGTGCACTGAGCAAAAGCTGAATTCCATGCTACTGCTATCTAGGCTAAGCATTTGCTTTTTTTGAAATTTAGCGAAAATTGTTCGAATAAGAAACAGAAGTTCCTTCGCGCATCTGCGTTACTCTGACACTGATAGTTTTAGACCGTTCCGTGAGTCCTTTTCCAAGACACGCCGACAAAGCTTTGTTCAGTGGAAGTTGCACATCATCGACACGAAGGCGGAAGCGAGACCAAATACCCTTTAAATTTTTTTTCATAATCACTAACGCCATCCTGAAGGGTCAAACTATCTGGCAGCCATAAACAAGTTTTTTACAAAGTAAATGCTTGTTTGATAGCACTTTACTACCCAGCCGCTGATAAATATTTCCAAATATGGCCATCACTAATCTGACGCTGTCCTGATTAGCAAGACGTACAAAAACCACTCACAGAACATGCAAAAATTCCGGGAATTTCGCGAAATTCTTGGAAATTTTGCATGTTCTGTGAGTGGTATGTAGATCTACAAGGCCATAAGGTCAGCGTTACTTTTGATAGCAGCATCCTTCACTGATTTTGAAAGGCAAAATGTGGTGCTATCTAGTATGAGTAATGCTTTCAGCGCATGCCCGCGGAGAAAAGTGAAGGCAGTATTCAGGCAAAATTTCAATTTCTATTTTTTTGCCTTATACAAGCCTTTTCAAGGCGCTGATTCCAAATGTTACATTCAGAGTGCGTGAATTCCTAAAAAAACTCAATTTCTCCAAATTCCTTTTCCCTTCTTTGAGACAATTTGTAAAAGCCGTACGAGTGCTCTCAATGTTGTCCTTGTTGGGAGCAAGCGTTTGACAGGTAGATATTATGATTGATGTTCGACTCTGTTTGCCACGTGAAAACACGTCAAGGGTTGAGGAGAGTTCGTTCAAGGAAGCAAATCGTGCCAGGGGTGGGTGTGGTCCTCGAGACTCGGCGTTTTTTGCGCCGATTTTTTTTGTTACAGGGGTGTTTGAAAGTCGGATTTGCTCTATAGTTCCAAATTGAGGCCCAAGTACTCGGTTATGACATTATCCGAAAATGTCCAAATCTGCCCGGACGCTGCCTTTGAAGGCAATGGCTCGAGAAAACGACAGTGGGCTTTTCACGACTACCTGACCTTCGGGAGCAGCTGAATGAGGTGAGTACTGTGCTTGAAATGTCAAAAAAGTGTTTTTTCTGGAGTTTACCGGCTTTGCAGATTGCTGGAAAAGCGGAACGAGGGATTTCCGCCATAACCAGCAAGTGACTGCAGGATACTTTAACTTCACCTATTTTGGCGACAATTGGCTGAGCCCAGGCATTCAATACGATACAGTTGACGACATTCCCTCGCCCCGCCTCTCCAGCAATCTTCAAGGTCGGAAAACGCCAAAATAGCACTTTTTGACTTTTTAAGCACATAACCTAACTCAGCTGGTCCAGACGGCCATGTACTGTGGAAAGCCCCATTGTTTTCCCAAGCCACTGCTTTTAAGGAGCACGAACACTCTGAAATATAACGAAATATCAGCATGCTGATATTGTTATATTTCAAACCGTAAAAAAATTATTGATAAACCCAAAAATCTCAAGCATCGGAAAGTACTGCAGCAAAGTAGAGTTCTCCTTTTCGAGCTGACGCCTTGAAGAATTGGGAAAATTGTAGACTTCAAGGTGTGCTATTGTTTTATTATCGTTAGTGCATTTTTTGAGAAGAAAGCTCATTGTAAGTTCAGTAGCATCATTCAAAAATTCTGTAGCAGCAAGAGTATCATCAAACTCCTGTTCAACGCACAAATTTTTATGAAAATTGTTGCTTCTTCTCACCACAAGGATAAACACGGAAGAAAATGAGGAGCAGGCACAACCTTTCCAACTGAGAAATAGTGTTTATGTTTAAGTGAATAAATTTTTTCCAAATTGAATGACATTCTCCTATTCATTATAACAATTTAATGTCAACAAATAACGTGTGCTGAACTTCACGTCTTTGACCAATCAGTACCTCGTTGGTGTTTTCTCGAGTGAAACAATCATTCATTGAGTACGGTATTCTAATTAATCCTCCCGCGAAGAGTACGGTACGGTTTTGAAAAAAAATTTTCGATTGTTTTGTCATTTTTAAATAGTTCAAGCTCGCGCTTGGTCGTGATAATCAAGACTCCTACAAAAGCTCTTTATTTATACACTGCCTTGCTTGTTGAGCCTGAATATCAAATTACTATATCTGTACAGTGGCATTCATCACGCAACAACAACGAGTGTGTTGTCTTGGTATTCTGTGCTGTAAATGAAGAGAAATTGTGTCGACGGATGATGTACAACCGTAGTTTATGTGTTTTCTGTATTCACCTTTATAAGTAATTCTGATCCTGCAATGCATTGAACAAGGCGAACCAAGTAGCACCTTACCATGGGGGAAAAGTTGGCTTTCAATGGAAAAGAAGGAGAGAAATTCATGAAGGCGAAAAACATGTGGACAAATTATATCTGAGAAAGCAGAGATAACGAATGCTGATTTAGAAAGAAAATCGTGTAAGACGTATATATAAAATGTAACAAATTTGTTATTCATTTTCGTCATCAATTATGCAGTGCTAAGCGTATCAAAAAGTATGCATTGTACGAATTCAACTGAAAAGCGTATTAATGTGCATTCATAGCGGACGCAGCCATACACTCTCGCCTGTTCGTCAAGCTTATGCAACTGGGAAACATTATTATAATTTGTTCAGTTTTAAATCGTGGGAAAACAGCTCTAGTAGGCACTTTATATTCTGCGGAAAACTCATTGGCAATAGTTGCCTACAGCTGCACGACAGAAAGTTACGAAACTTTTTTAAATGACGCTTGGCTTACATAGCAGCTTGAAACTCTTGGAGCTCGTGTCATTTATTCGTTTCATTGTTGTGAGAAGAATTTCACGGTTGTTTGGCAATTGTCGACTATGTAAGCTGCCCCTCAAATCATGATATGTGAGCACTCGTACAAAAAGTGTCTGTAACCAATTGTTTGTACATTCCTCCACTTGCTACCTCGGCGCTATTGAATTGGTGTGTTCGTTCAGCGCCACCCATCGTAAACGATAGCAAACGACACTTTTTCTAGTCAAAAAACGTTTGAATCAAAATGGTGCCACTCAGTGACGAAGTACAGCCGTAGCCAATTCAAAGTTTTTCTGTTATTTGAAGATTTTAGCTCTTGCTGCAATGTATAGAAGCATGTGAGTAAAATAAGTTTACGTCTCAAAGACAAATTGGCTCAGAATGGAAAAGAAGGATAGAAAGCAATAAAAACAAATGGCATGTAAAGCTAATATGTTCGGGAAAGCAGAGAGGAGGAGCTAATATTATAAAATCGCGTGAATTGTATGCAAGAACTCATTAACGATGTTTTTACGTTTGATGCTTCGCTCAATACTCACCTATGCAGCGCTTAGGCTTCAGAAAAATTATGCATTCTCCGAATATGATAATATACTTTTCCGGGTGTCATCATAACGAACAGAAACAAAAGCTTGTTTGCCACGCACATGCAACTAAATGAAAGCAGTTCATATGGTCGTAAGTCGTGGGATAACAGCTTTCAGCTAGTTGTTCTAATAACTGCCACTTTGCATTCTTTTCGATAGGAATTCACAAGTGTTGTTTTACCAATCTGGACGACGAAGAGCTTAAAAGACTTCGTCAAACAAAGTTTGACTATTAACCGCTCGGCATCCTGTGTCTCCTACACTCCGCTGCCACTATTTGTTTTTCATCTTTACTAAAATTAGTTTGATTATTGACCTATAGGAGCGTTCACCACACATCTTTGGTAAACTTCTCAGCACTGAGGCCTTTTGTACTTTAGGCATAGATTTACAGAAATTTTGTGTTGTTGTATTGGGCGGAAAAAAATGTTTCCCAAAGCTAGTTGCCAAGCATGCTTCTAAACCACTAGAGTATCATGTACACACCAAATTGCTCGATTTTGCCAAATTTTTTTTTGACATTAGCACTTTCGCATTCTAGGTTGTCAGCTACAAATGCCAGTTAAAATTGTGAATGCTAGTCAAGTCAACATTTTTCAAGCATGCTGTACGATTCTGCCATTTGAGTGGTTACAAAGTTCTATAATCAGTTCAACATATCTTTGAATACAGTTAGCTTCAAGAATCACCACAGCATATAATGGTAAAGCTAAACCAAGATTCTTATGATTGCTGATTGCTGTCCTTCCAGAATTTTTTTACTGTCATGGAATAAACTTTAGCAATATGCTCACTATACTTTCTGGTTAGACAATAGTTGTCAATTTTCAAATTTTTGTCTAAAAATTTTGTCGAACCATATGTTCTGAAGTGTTGCAACATTAAAAATGATTATGCATTCTTGAAGATGAAAATTACAGTTAAAATTTTTTTTATCGAAAACACTCAAATCAATAAAGAACGATTAGGACCACTTCTTTAGAATGCCAAAATATTCTAAGTACACTTTTCGCGAGTAAAGGACGCACTTCTTCAATTTTTTAAGCGAGCCGCTCAGCCGCCTCTCTGTATTTCAGAAAACGAGAATTATGCGGCATGATAATCTCAAGCAACATGCAGCACTGTATATAGTTTTTTGATCGAGAAATCTTTCGGCGTGTCTGTGCTGTTCGAATTCATAAAAAAAAATCCCCGCGTCCTGTACTCGTGCTAGCCTTGCGCTTGCCAAAAGCTTGCAGTTGTCAGAACCATCTTACTAGAAGCAGTGGAAGACTGAGGAAAAAGGGACGGGGCAAGGGAGGAGGGGGTTGCTCCAAAAATGGGTCGCGAAATAGTTACAGGTTACTTACATCAGTTATGAAATTGGTCTGCAATTTGAAGGACTCAAAACGTTTTCGGAATGAGCGGCTAAACGGCAACACCTCTAACATAGTATTTTGTCTTCTAAACTCCCCCCCCCTCTCCTGAATAGAAGTTCTGAAAGCCCATAGAGGATGCACACTATACTTTATTCGATTTCATTTGAATAATCGAATAATTGAATCTATTTAATCAAAAATATCGGATAACTGAAATTCGAGTATTTCAATAAAACACCTAATATGTGAACATCGAATATTTTCGAAATGGAAGAAATTCGAATAATCGATTTATTCAAAAAAAAAAATTCGAATAAAGGAAATATTTGCATGCATTCAAACAACTTCTCATCGAATTAGCACAATGAAGGGCTAGATGTAGATGGACAACCTGAACAACACGATTTTGCTGATATAGCATTCGAGGTGTATGTATTAGGCGGGCGAAAGTTCTGTCGTTTCATTTTTAAAAATTTCTAACTTTGCGCTATTTCAACGGATTTGCTTGCTTTTAATTTTGTCAGAAAGGAAAAGTTTTTCACTTTCAAAATTTGTTTTGGAGATCTTCGGTTTCACACTGACTGCAGAGATAAAAATGGAAAGGTAAGATTATATAAGCTTTGACCATTATAAGTTAGGTCACCAGAAATCTGGAATGCTCTAGAAAAATCTGAAATCTATGCATGCTGTTTCATAATTGCATGCTTCGCTACCTCTTGTAAAATTTATACAAGCGGGTAGGCAAGAGAGGCGAGAGAGAGCTTTTGCCGCCCCTTTGTAAGAGGGGCGGCAAAAGCTTTATTGAATGAAGGTGCGTGGCGTGGGCCACGCACTCTGAAAACATTTTTGGGGTGCCTCTCGAAATTTTTGCGGGTCCATAACACGCCCCGAGCATAATTTGAATTTTTGAAAAATTTTGAAAATTATCTTAATTATTTACAAGAATAAACAAGTCACTTGCACATTTTTATAACCCATGTTAGTATATTTCAAAAATCTCGCGCCCATTCTCAGAGGGAGCCCCCCTCCCTCGGTCCGCCACTGCTGTCTACTGATTATTGAATCCGTGTAGGAATTTTGCTCATGCAGTACGACAGAAAGCCTTATGCCACTTCAAAAAACGATGTGAATACCGTAAATCTTCCACATTTTCTTCAAATAATCAAAAATAAATGTCGACTGTACGAAATCCCCGTATAATCGCTTTAGGCAGTGCAGGCGAGAATGATCAAGCGGCTGCCGACTATTGGTGCTGTAATAGAGTCTCGCCTGACTTTCGGAAGTTTTACGAAGTCCTATTTGACCTACCTTAAAAACAAAATAAAATTTACTAATCTGACAGAAAAAACGTGAGATAAGAGTGAATATCCAAATTGAAGCAGAATACTACGCATGCTCAAGAGTTTGGCATTGGAGCGCCATATTTAAAGCGATTTATGAAGAAATTAAGGCAAAAAATAAAGGAAAGGCAATGAGATGGAAATGTCTTCATGCTCCGGGATAGACTTTTGATTGGGGAATCAGTAGATGATGAAAATTGAAACTTATGTGGAGCGACAGAAATATATGCTCCACACAATCTCAGATCGTCTGGTGACCGTCTGGAGACGGACTAATTTTGGAAAAGGTAATACTCTTGAGTTTTTGAATCTTTTTGCATAATTCTCTCGCAAATAATTTTCTAGCGAAGGAAGTCACTTAACTTAGGTGGCCTTTTCAAATGTGACATATATAGTTAAAATCGGCTCGGAACGCTGATTTCAAATATGCTGTCTTTAGCTGCGAAGCATTCCTCTGATGCGAGTTATGAGCTTTTTTCCTAAGCAAAGTTTGCGTGCTGACCGACTTAGGCATGCTACGGTATCGTCATCTAGGTAGTAATTCAAATGCATACAACACCCTATCGATGCCAAATGACTCAGTTTGATGTTATTTCGATTTTCCATCACTTTTTAAGTCAGATTTTCATCTAAAGGCCTTCTTTCCATATTCAGTTAAATGTCAATTACACTATTACTAAAAAGCTCATAACTCGCTTCAGAGGAACGCTTCGCAGCTAAGGACAGCATATTTGAAATCAGCGTTCCGAGCTGATTTTGAATGTATGTGTCTCATTTTAAAGGGCCGACCTAAGTTGAGTGACTTCCCTTGTAAATATACATTTCAATCAATTTTGGTGTCATATGATTCTGTGTGGGCTGTAAACAATCAATTTGTTTCTTTTAGCCTTGCCTGCAAATCGCGCGCACTTTCCGCCATACACGGTATAGCATGTCAATCGTGTGATAACCTGTCCGAAAAGCTTGTGTTCTGATCGAATGGCGCTTATTCTTGGTGCTCGGCTCCACTGCAAAAACGATATCTTTTTGCTTTTTGCTCCAAAAGCGAAGTCCACTCTGCTTCCAGACGATCTGTGCCGGGCCCCGGGCAAACCTGAGAAAGTTTTGTTGGCGTTTTGCATGAGCAATAGGCAAACTCAACGTTATTTACGCTTAGACAAAACTTTTGCTTTTTACTAGCGTAAAATACTGAACTTACATACTTGTGACAGCAATCATACTTTTGAATCGATTTGTCGCTCAAAAGATTCTGCCTATACTATCAAACATATTCAATGCTTTCACGGTTAACAAGTAAGCATGCGGTGACTCATGTTTCCACTTTCTGATGATTATGACATGTTCAATATGTAGAAAGTATAGACACATTAGAGTATTGAATCTATGAAGGCAGCAATTTATGACCGCAGATCATCTGAAAATAGATGCGGCAAAAAAATAACCTCATTTTTAATTGCCCCGGGGCATATCAACACCATCGGTCACGGGTACCGAATGAGGCAGCGAGTGGGCGCCGCAAGCGAAAAAAAATTGCACTTGAGCTCAAAAGTAACCGCATAGCAGACTCATAATGTTAATCCCCGTGTTTATCATCTATGCGTATCTAAAGCGTTGGATTCCATCTTGTATCGACTACGAAACGCTTCAGGTAATAGCCCCGTTTGAGTGAAGAGGGCTCAAGCAGAGACGGTACGCTTTTTTCGCTCATGCGTGGGAGTAGATTATCTATTCTAAAATTGGAAGACTTGAACACGCTTCACATAAGTATGATTGAGTAAAAACTATTCGTTAAATCTGTTTGGTAGGTTTACTATTAGAGATTTGAGAAGAAGCATACGCAAGTTAAAGCATCTATTCATATCAACAAGAACATTTAAAGAAAGCGAGTCGGCCCTAGCTACAAATCTAACAGCAGCGGCTTTCGTGCTCGGGTGCTAATTTCGTTGCCTGCGTTACGCTTGCAGACTCATCCCGTGGGTACCCGTGACCAATGGTGGTTGGTATGCACTGTATCTTCAGTTGTAACTGCGCCACCTACGCTACCGACAACATTACCCGTAACACCTCCACACTGTCAGTGTCCCATGGATCTGTACAGCGAGAGAATTTGCCCCTCAGTTGGACCTTGCAACAGAGATCCCAAGGTATGTTTTTACCTTTTGCTTTGTAGTCCGCCCCATTGGGGATGAAGGCGGAACCATTTGCTCAAGTTGCGCGCACGCAGCGCTAGTACTTTGCACTGCATAAGAGCACTTCGGAGAGAGCCAAGTGATTGAAAGCAGAGCAGGCAAGCAGGCCATAGGCTTGACGCAACACCCTAGTGACGTGGACTCTCGCCATGTTAATTTTGGCGATCGGAATCAGGGCCCTGCAGGAGGTGGCATTTCAGAATTTTGAAAACGATATCCCCTTTGAAGCCAAAATTTCTTACGACTTCCCCTTTGACCCTATTTTTGACCCCCGTAAGTCCCTGACAAACAGATATACACAAATAGTAAGATGGCGGCCTCAGCGCTTATTATAGACTACCTGGCTTTCCTGGTCCAGCCCGGGTCATCGTTTGAGGGGATGGCCAAAAACCACACTCTGTCCTTCTCCTTTTGTGCCATATTCTCTACCCTTTTTGCAGTATCAATACTGTACTGCAGCCCTATGTCTAAGATACTACTCATTTATTAGTCAGCTGCAAAACTTTACAATTCACAATAACAAAAATATAAACCTACACTATACAACTTCAATAACAAAAACATAAACCTACACTATACAACAACAATTTCATAACATTCATTTCATAACAACTTCAACAATTTCATTTTAGAACACTATACCCTATTTTCCGGTTTATGTGCCACACCTCATATTAGCTGCACCCGCCGCAGCAAACAATGGCGCGAAAGAGTTTTGGAAAAGAATGTTTTAAATTTAAGAAACTGAAGACTCGCTGCATTTTGTGACAGTTTCTCATTGCACATGTTCAAGTCTCCAGGTATTTCCTTACTCCTTTAGATTCGGACGAGTTTGTGTACGTTTGAGTTGTATTTTATTCAACGAAGTGCTTTCTTTTGTTCTTGCTGATGTTACCGATCACGAAGCTGTGATTTCGTTCGATTTCAGTGGTACTGCTAATGTATGAATGTTTCAAAGGCTTTCACAACAAATAGCGAAATCGGAAAGTTACAGTCAGGCTACTAGGTAAAATAGGTAGTACCATCATCGCACATTAGCCTGCGCGCGATAAAAATAATTGCGGCTCACATGCCGAAAAACAAGGTATATGAAAAGAAAAAATTTACCCTGTTTCCAGGTGTACAAGCCGCACCCGTCACTCGAATTAAGTGCAGCTTGTACACCTGGAAACAGGGCTTAACTAATGCTTTAGTCCCCTGATGCGACGACGTCGACGACGGCGACGACGTGGAGAACGGCGACCGCTCTCCACGTCGTCGTCGCCGGCGCGTCCTCGTCTTCCGCAGTCGCATAGTGACATAATTTGGAAAGTATTAACTGAAAAGCAGAAAAGTTTGTGTCGAGAGTTACCTTCACTCCTAGCTGTGCAGCTCCATACTCCGCAAGTGGGATGAGGAATTCCAGGATCGTGTAGGTCTTGTCCTCCTTATTCACGAGACCGACTAGAAGAGATGTTATGTGTGCGATGACGTCGTCATCTTTCGGCTCGTTCTAAAACGCAGTTCATTACATTCATTTATTTTCATTGTGCTTCTGGTCTGGACGATCCCTTAGGCCCTCGACATAGTTCACGCGATTTGATCGGTATTATCGGTAAAAGGGCATTTGAGAATTTTCACTGCAGACAGATGCTTGAAAACCGAAAAAAATGACATACTTGATGAGGTCAACATCGAAAGCAATTAGTGAAGCGTTTCGTTGAACTTGCTTCATGAGATAAGTCGTCAGGGAAAAATTTTTGATCTGCTCATCAAAAAAATGATTGTAAAAATTAACTGCTGGACATGATGAATCGATAAAGTTTTGTCAGAGACGATCGGACATCGGGCCGTGACTTGTGCAAGCTGGCAGAGAGAGCGCACATTTTGGAAAACACTGCACTATCCCCTCCCTCGAAAAATCTCGGCTTCCGCAGGCCAGCCAGCAACCCGACAGTGGCTTCGAAAATGTTGTCAAAAAACATGCTGTCCATCAACGTAACGCATCAGCTTCGCTGCTAGGCTGAGAGCGTTTTTGGCTGAGGAAATTTAAAACGGCAATCTTAGGAACAACAAAAAAAAACAAAAATCACACAAAGATAATGTCTATAAAATCGAGGCAAACAGTCTCGTGAACATTGAGAATGTGGACACGATCGATTCTCATTGAAAACCTCCCACTGTACAAACATCCACTATTGTGTGCAGAGCGAGATTCGAGCATAAATGCTTTACGAACGCCTGTCTGTTGAGATGTATAGAGCAATGCGTAGGGTGTACTACACATGTTTTTGTCAAGGAAGGTAAGGATGAAATTGAGGTTTGTGTTTGTTATGTTCCAGTAAAACAACAAAAACATTCATTACACGAATCCCGAATTCGCGAGATCACAAATAGCATTGCCTTTCGGTACCCTAGAGATGTTTGAAATTCTCCAGAGAATGACGTCGGGACGATGTTATAGCTGCAAAGCTAACTATCTTCACAGCAATTGAAGGAAATAGTTGATGAAACAGGAAATAGAAAGTCAGGCTGTTTGAAAAGCTTAGTTGATGAGAGTCAAGATTGGTACCAGAATCGTCACTTGCAGACTTGCTCGGAAAATGCTTGAGAAATGAAATTTCAGATCTTGTTCATGTAAACATTTGAACATTCCAGCTATACATTACTGAAATGGAAGAGCGCATGCTGAACGTTTCTTTCCAGCGTATTGTGGCAGAAACATAATCAGTTTGTCAAAAGAATGCAATTCAAGGATGAAATGTAAAATTGAGAGTGTTTTTGAATAGCTCTTATTTCCGCCCATGTGGAAAGGAAGATCATTGCCATCACTTTTCGGAAAATTCCTCACCTTTTCGGAAAATTCCCCATCAGCAAATGAATACATCTTATTAGTTTTATCATTAGCCGACAAGACAAATGTTACGAGATCATTGCATGCCGACCAGCTTGCATTGGTTGTTTACGCGATTCAATCGCGACGATCAAATCGCGTAAACTCTGTCGAGTAATATCGAGTGTCGAGGGATCGTCCAGACCAGAAACACATTGAAAATATGGGTCTCGCTGATCCACAAAAATATTGGAGGCAATAAAGGAAAACACACAAAGAAAAAACAAAAAATTACAAATGTGATGTACAAAAACGAATGCAAAAATTCGATGTAATGTAACATATTTGCATAAACGCACCATTCCACCTACCTGAGATAGTCCGAATGAGCCTCAAATTGGTGAACTAAGTGCAAGGTGCTATAGTCGAAAATTCTGACATGCATGTCATCTGAGCCGGTAACAATCCAGTTTTTGCGTGAAATAAACTTGGCAGCGCGCACTGGCAAATCACATATCTGAAGAATGCGCAAGATACTGGATTGAAACATAGTGAGCAACATAAGGCCCCAGCCAGACTTCAGCTGAACAGCCCAAAACCGCTCAAAAACACCGAAGGCCCCTTTCCACGAGAGATGAGCTATCTTGAGCGGAGTCTGGCCGGGGCCTAACATACAAAAATACATGAAAATTCAAAAATAAACCTACTTTGAAAGACTTCAGAAGCAGCTGACTCTCGTAATTACAAATCTGAACACTTCTACTGTGAAGAGCTGCCAATAGCCACGTTTCTGTGGGATGAAGGTCCACCGATTTAACTCGACTTGATCTTGTCAAGAACATTTCCTCAACTTTTGATGACAGCATGCCTACAACAACCAGAATAAAGGAAAACGAAGAAAACAAACGACCCAAAAGAGCGAAAGTACGGAGAAATCGACCATATTGCGAAAACTGAAGAAACACAATTACAAAAACAACTTTTTGCATAGAATATCACGACGAAATATGATCTCTGGCCCTTCTGAGCCCTTGTAGGGCTTGTCGAAGAAGCAATCTATTCAAAATTGTAAAGATTTCTTCAATCAGCGATCACTAATTCAGAAAAAGTCAAATTCTCGAAGTTTCCGCATCGTCCGTGCAAGGTGCATCGATTGCGATTGGAGCGCGCTTTCCGAGGCCGATCATAACGCTTACACCCTATTTGGGGCTCTATCTAAGCGGTGCCTTGGTGGTTTTGGAAGCGGATTTGAACATGTAGTAACACTCTCGACCTAGTCCACATTTATGTAAAGAAATCCGGGAAATTATGTGAAGGGGAGCAGGGAGCCACCCCAGGTGGCTCCCAGGTGGCGCGGGAGCCACCTAATTTCGAAAAACACTTACAATTTTTTTAATTCACATAAGTTTTTCATAATTTTTCATACTTTTTTTGTGCTCATGGTCCTCCAACTATACAGCAAATTTGGTGCCATATCGTTACTTGTGCATTGAAAACGAGCCTATTTTGTTATTTTCCCCTAACAAGAATTGCGATTTGAATTCCCGCCTGCGGGCAGGCTAGCGACCGGAGCACAGAATCTTCACAGTGCTGGAATCTAAGTTCATAGGACAGTAGCATCAACAAGGAATGATGAATAAAGAATGATATGTGCATTATTTATCGGTAAACAAAGGGGAAGTCGTATTTTGAGGTCCGGGGCTCTGCCGCGGACCCCAAAATACGACTTCCCCTTTGCTTTTTCGGGCCAAAAACGATATCCAGCTTGTGAAAACGCCACCCCCGCCGGGCCCTGATCGGAATTGAGGCAGATTGTAAATATGAATTCGCTAGTGTAACTTTGTTCGCAACGTGTTTCAAGAATGTTGAGTAATAATCGCTGTCTCAAAAGCTCTCATGTGAAGTGATTTACCTACTTCAAAACTAATGCAAAATCAATGATTTTCTTGTGAAGTAAGAAGGTCAAAAATGCAACCAAAAACACTAATAAGTATTATGAATTAGGCGCCATAGGACTATATGGCCATAGGACAGTGATCCTATTTATCCCAGTGTATTTGTAGCAACGCTTTCAGTCGCGTAACCGATCTTGTATCAAAGGATTTATTCGACATGCTTCTTACAACAATGACGACATTGTTGTAAGAAGCATTTCGAATAACTTCTCTATGCGAAATCATTTTTATTTGCTGTAATGCTGATATGTTCTCAAAATAAGGTAAGTGTGCAATGGGATACATATACAGTTGTGACTTTGGAATGTGAAAACTTTCGGCGATGTCGGCGAGTCGGCGACTTTGCTTTTTCGCCGACTCTGGCAAATTCGCCGAGAATTTTCACACTTTACTGTCACAACTGTATCTCCATTTACTATATGGGTGTGGAGGGTGTGAGGGGAGGGAAGGGGGGGGGGGGAAGAGAAGAGATATCTGATGCCTTGTTTACAACACTTTGGACACTTTGCTCGGATTTGTTCTAAATAACCAGAGCGGTTATTGTCCAATCCCCTGACTGCAATGATTACACTCGTTTGCTACACGTAATGTTATCATATACGCATTGTGTAGAGCCACTCTGCTTGAGTGTGTCTCCTAAGTTGCTTAGTAGCTTTTGTTTCAATGTGCACAGTATTTCAATCTTACCCTGCAAGAGCTCAGCGAAGTTGCTGAATACAATTACTGTTTGATAGGAAATGGACCGCCGCGTTCATACGATGAGTACTACGTTGCGGAAAAAACTTTCACCTGTTTTTTCATTCCTAGCTACAATGCCATAGTGGCCATGTCTTCAGTTTCCTTGGGAACACACTTCTCCGCCCGTGCAGCAATGAATTTTTCCCTTACCTCATTCCAATCAGTTGGTCATGTAGATCTGCTCAGACATCCGATATCGTTAACTTCGAAAAAAACGATGAAATCAACTTCTACTGTAACTTTGTGCAGCGATTTTAGTGCCCTTACACTCCAAAGCTGGACTCCATCTCAAAGTTTGTAAAGATTGAAAAGACCGATTGCGGTATTAATTTCTTGAATGGATGTCACATTTGCAGTGGGCAAGCTCTCTCCCCCCCCCCCCTTCCCATGCAATTTATCTTCCATTATCAGGGTCTGTTCGGGGGGGGGGGCTCTGACTGTTCATGTCAAATATGGCTCAGACTCTGCATACAGGAAGAGTATGCCAGGTGTTAAGACAATGACATCTGTCTATCCAATCAAGTCTTGAAGTAGAGCATTTCCTACTGGAAAACCCGCTTTGACACTTTTATGTCACCACTCACCTTTGGATGTATTGATTGATCTTATCGTTGGGATACACAACGAAATTTATCTTTGAGAACACAATATAGCGCGCAAATGGTGCGTGCAAAGAGAAAACAAGGACAATAATGAAAACGAAGCACAGAATAGAAATAGTATTAGGTCAAAGTAATTTCGCTTTATTCAGACATACGCCACGTCTCGTGGGACGAAAATGTGTAAGAGATTCTAATAGCATTCGATGCAGCATTTCGTTTTCTTTTTAATTGTTATGTAATCATATAATCACTGCACAAAATATGATGATATCTCTAGAAATTATCAAAATCTGCGACCCATGCTTTTTGAGAAGGCCAAGTCTTACAATTTTTCTAAATTTTATAACAACCCTCGGAAGGAGCCCAAGTAAGGGGTGAATAGATCAAACCCTGCGGGATACAGCACAACTTTTTTCTACCTTGCAGAACTCGTCATAATTTTTGCATAGATTTTTTTTGATGGAACCCCCGAATTTTAGCAGGCTCGTCTCAGACACAAATGCATCAAACACCAATAAATCTTCGGATTTTGAAACTTACAGATGGGTTATGGTTTGACACTAATTTTACAGATCAAATGAGCATTCATCGATTCAGATTACCGACTTTCGAAAATTACGGGTACAGTCTGGGGCGCCCTGGAAAAACTGAATTATGATGATTTTTCCCGGAAAACTTGATGAATCGGAAACAAAAAACAACGATTAGGAAGAGGAGAAAAAGCTGCTTGAGTAACACCCAAACTGTTTGCCGGTTGCTGCTCTGCGAAGTTTGAATTGACCAAATATGAAATTTGATAGCATTGGAAAATTGATTTAGTAGGCTAAGAAAAAGAAGAAAATTGCTCTGTGTTCTATAAGGTTTGCCCTATCCACCCGTTGTTTGTACTTCTTTGGAGATTAGGTATAAAAATTCAGAAAAATAGCCGAACTTGACTATGGCAAAAAGCATGAGCCGCAGATTTTGGTAATTTCTTGAGAGCTCATTGAATATTATGCAATGACATTACAAACATTAGAAAGAGGATGAGATGCTGCATCGAATATTTTCAAGATCTCTTGAAAATCTTGATACTATGGAATGGGTGTTGAGGAAATGTGTGCTCTTTGCCGCGAAAGCGAATCAAAAAATGTACAAAAAATATATCGATGCAGCAAAGAGCTCTACATGGCTTTCAATGAGCGCAAAAAATTCGATACCTGTGAAGTTTTGAAGAAGAGTCTACCTACGAAATCTCAAATTCGGATTTTTGCCCACAGAAATTTGAAAAGTCCAACTTGCCTGAAAAAGTCACCTGTTGCATTAGCTATTCTTTTACACACTTGATGTATACAGAGGGTCCCAGAAGTATGTATACACTGTTTGGTCTTTGATTTATTTTTTCCCAATGGGTCTTTCGCCTACCTCCAGACCCACTTTGTATAAGCTTCGACTAAGATTTACAGCATGGAGCGAGTCACCGATCGCTCTTCAGGATTACTAGAAACTTCAAGAAGAGTTGTAAGCCATTAGGGACCCTCTTCCGCCTCAGAAATCAAAACGAACAAATCAAACAGAAAACTTTCATATTAGGCTAGTTCAAGCTGAAAACCAAATATGATTTGTGCATTTTACCGCAATGGTTCCTTCATAACTTACGCCGGGTAACCGCATTCAGCTGTTCTTACAACAGTCCATGAAATTGTGATTACGCCATTTGAAAAGCTTTGCAAACTCGTAAAAAGTTGAATAATTAAATCAGCCAAAGTGAAAACCCTAATACGCCACTTTTCAGATTTTTTGGAACCTTTTACTAAAACACAATTAATTCGCAATGATACTGTAAGCAGATCCTACCGTAATCTTACAGTGGTGAAGAGAGATGGGTGACTTGATCATATATCACATTTAAGTTGAAGCCAGGTTTACAAAATGGTACCTGAAGATGGGCAAAAGACTCCTTGGAAAAAGAGATATTAACGATCGAACAATGTATACTATTTTTGAGACACTCTGCATTTCCTACGCAGGAAAATGGAAGTATAAGAATTTGCATGCACAAATCTAATGGTGAACTATTCCGACGTAAGTATTCTATACTACAATCTTTTGAATATACAAAGGGATTTTTTGGCTTTCTACAGACGGTAGTCAAATAAATACAAAATCAGAGTAAAGCAATTGAAAAAACACTCTCAAATCTTATAAGTCTAATCTTGATTTCAAGATGCAAAAAATAGGGCAAATGTATAAGTGATACCTGATGTGGACAGTATATGAGTGACGAAACTGGAGGTTTGCGACCTTTTCTATGGGTAGCCTTCAAACTTTTCGCAGATTGAACTTTTTTGCTAGTGTTGGAATGCCATCTTATAAAGGTTGCTTTGCTCCATCAAATAATGTGTTTCTTACATCTTTATATCTTCATTTACCTCTGCAATATAGTTCATTACTTTTGCTAGTAACAAAGTACGCATTGTGAAACTCCTCAGATGGGACAGAATGCAGACTCCATCTTTCTCTTCAGGTCTACGCCCAGCTCTACAGCGGCTGCAAGAAATAAAGGAATTGATGGAGGCGATGGATGTCATGCATGACTGTTTTTTCTCAGCTTTTATCTTTTAAGTTGCGCTAACTCTCGGCACCCCATGTGTTAATATCAATCCATAGCGAGATGTAATTTTTGATTGCCGTCCCGCCGCGAATAACCGGTTCTGGAAGCGAAACTATTTAGAATTTATATGCAGGCAGACAGACTAAATACCAAGATAAACGTTTATTGAGCATTATGTATGAAACGTGATTCTCTAGAGGAAAAACTGCCAATATTAATCGTGCCATACCTAATTTGTAAAATTATCCTTAACAATTTCACTATCTAGTGAACTGGCCAAAGTCAGAATTTTCTTAGAATGAAAAAGGCTTCACAATTTTGTAAAAGCTTCGTTGGAGGTTATTCGACCATAGTTTTCTTTTGAAGTATTCCGAAGTTTAAGCCTGTGCTTTTTCCACAGTCAACAAAAACAAATCATCGTTACCACAGAAAACGTCTACCTCGGCTTCCAGATCAGCTGCACTTATAACATGTCTTTCTACTGCAGAAGTGGAAAAGAATTTCGGATATAAGTTATACTGCTTTTCATACAGACTCTCAACACTCACAAATGCTACTTTCTGCCATTGTCAAAAAAAATCTTCAAAAAATTTTGAGCCAGGTAAACTTATTGTATTTAAATTACATTGAATCACAGATTTTCAAGGCAGTTGTATGTGGCTCTCCTTCAATGTGTTTGAACAACCTAAATTATCCGCAGTTATTGTGACAATTTACTCCGCTTTTAAGGCATTTACATATGGTCCTCCGTCACTGTGTTCAGTTACCATAAACTGCGAAGAAACGGACTACATACGATTTCAATTCTCTGGTGAAAGCGACATAAATAACAGTGAGTTGCATGGGACAAAGCAAGACATAGAAGACTATAAAAGCGATTCAAAATGTGAGACAGTAAGGAGTCAGCTAATAAGATGTCAGTGATTATGCCCAGGGCACGTAATCGGTGTTTATTTCGTACACTTTAGTATGCTCGCTAGAAATTCAAATGCATTATATGGAGGGTGTAGGCTACGTGTGGGATTAATCTTGGCTTAGGGAAGAATGACAAAGTGTTATGAAGCGCCGCTATGACAATCCTGCATCAAGCTTCGATCCCACCTCTAGGCCCACAGCCCTCTACATTAGGGGCGGGTAATTTGGTATTAGTGTAATCTGGGAAGATCAAAGCACTGACTTGGTGATTACCCCCGCAAGCATGGCTAGTCCATGTTCAAATTCCTCTTTAATTGTGAAGTAGAGTGCGTTCAACAAATGTCCACATTGATAATCCGAATCTCTATCATTTATCCTTTATCCTTTTGACGCAAATTACTGCGAAAGACCTTCTAGGTGCCAACATACCGATGGAAAAAGATTATTTGTCTAACACAGCATCACGAGTGCTTCGAGGACATTATTACATATTCTTCACAAAAAGTATCATAAGGGTAATTCAGGCTGTGCTGATGCGATCTTGTGCATGTATTATGGTATAGCAGTAAAAAAACCTTAAGTAAAAGCCTACAAAATCTTAAAATGAACGCGCATTATGAAAGCGCCGTTTGCAATTGTATCTGTTGGTTTTTGATGTTCAATCAGTCAGAAGGCTCACAGAACGCTTTTTGTTGCCGCATTTCCAAAAATATTAGGTTGTCCGGAAATTAATGCAGGTTTTGAATTCCAACCGCAATAAGTCATACACTTCTCATTTCTAGTAGGGTGCAATACATCATTCGATAGAGCAAAGCCAGCTCTACAAGATGGCAGTCTTGATTTTGCAACAGCTTTAATCCATCACGAGTTTCGAGCCAAAAACTAAAAAGATTCAACTACTCAAAAAATCGAGAAAAATCGTAACTCAGTTCATAAAAATCCTACAAAAATTCTATTTCGCTCTCATAAACACTATCCACATAAGACATCTATGTACGCCGTTGCCGTATTTTTTTCTCGGTTAGAAACCAAGAAAACGAAGATTTTTATGTTTCTGCCAAAGTGATCCTGTGCCGTTCCCACATAAGTAGTTGTATACTACTTTACCTGTAGAAGTACAAACGTAAATTTCCAGCTCTTTACAAGTTTTAGTTTTCGAGAAATATCGAATACACTTTTCCTAGTCATGTGGTTCAAGCTAAAATTCAAATTTCTCGAGAACTGAAGCTTGTAGAGAGCTGGAAATTTACGTTTGTACTTCTACAGGTAAAGTAGTATACAACTACTTATGTGGGAACGGCACAGGATCACTTTGGCAGAAACATGAAAATCTTCGTTTTCTTGGTTTCTAACCGAGAAAAAAATACGGCAACGGCGTACATAGATGTCTTATGTGGATAGTGTTTATGAGAGCGAAATAGAATTTTTGTAGGATTTTTATGAACTGAGTTACGATTTTTCTCGATTTTTTGAATAGTTGAATCTTTTTAGTTTTTGGCTCGAAACTCGTGGTGGATTAGAGCTGTTGCAAAATCAAGACTACCATCTTGTAGAGCTTGCATTGCTCTATCGAATGGTGTATTGCACCCTACTTAGAAATGAGAAGTGTATGACTTATTGCGGTTGGAATTCAAAACCTGCATTAATTTCCGGACAACCTAATAATATTCTGCTATTCGAATATAAGAGAAGGAGACTAATTGCAATGAGCGGATAAAGTCCTTTACTTTGTGGGTAGCTGATCTCATATCATAGGTTTCTGAGACAAAAGCGCAAATCACCGCTTCATTTCGAATTATTTTGAGTATTGAAGACTTTGATAAGTCTCAGAAAATCAGGAACTTGCGGTTTTCTTTTTTGATTCAAAGGTCTCAGCTTTAAGGAAGCTCAGTCAACACAAATTTTGCACAGTTAAAAGTGAGGTTAAAAATTGTCAAATGGATTTTATGCTTTGTTTCTGAAAGTTTCAGATTATCATCAGCTTGGTTGAAAATCACACAGTACTTGAGTAATGTTTTCTCGTACTCACACTCTCAATTCTAATATCTTGCTAACTTACGGCATGAAATTGCAGGACGGTCTTGGTACAGATGTTCAAAATGTTTAACTACATGGAATAGACGAAAAGCGCCCTATGTAACATCCATTATAAAAGGTCGACACTTTCATGGTTAATGTAACATAGGGCATTTTTCCTCTATTCTATGCAGTTGAAAATCTGTACCAAATTTTTTCCAATTTCATGCCGTGAGTCAGCAAAACACTATTGATTCTGCCGTAAACCAAATGATCTATTGCTCTTTTCAAAAAGTGTGGTCTAACCATTTCTGAATTTGAAAAACAAATTTGAAAGCTGAAATGAAAAGCAAAGCTAACATTCTGCAAGCTTACTTGACTTTTTTTTCATTTTCTATTCAAGAATTCACACGGTTTCTTTTTACACGAAGTCAACTTGGCTTGATATAATTTTCGAAAATGTTCGCACCACGTGAGTTGCTATCCTTTCGAAAGCTGCTTTTTTGAGCTCCCATATATGTTTTATCCATGTACAAAGCTTTGTGTTGATAAAGAACAGTGCGATTTCAGTAAGAGTGCGTGACTTCCGTGAGCTCGCAGATATCCAGTGCATCAATGGCGAATGGCGTTATTATGCCCAGGCAGGATATGACAGAGTGTTGCGTCACGTCGTCTGCTATTCCGTCGCAATACCCACAGTTTAGGTGCATATGGCACCATGGAGGATTTATGAACGATCGATTATATTGAAAATGATTGTTTATTCCGGTTATCGGCTCACAATCTTTTGTTAGACTTGTAGTATCAGTGCTCGCTGAAATTATAAAAGATGGGCAGCAGTGTTCTACACAGATCAGCACAGTTATCATCGATCGATAGACACGATTTCATCAGACGATTCATGCTTACCTCAGCTCTACTCAATTGATCTTTGCTCGCTTAACGAAACGCTGCTCACTACTTAATAAAGAAACCCGCAACGAACTTCGTGGTTTCAGAAAGAATGTTCGGGCAAATTAATGATTCAAATTTTTACTCAACCACAGCCCAGCACAAATTTCAAGAAATTCACTTGAACTGCAGCTCTCAACAAATACTGCTGCAGGTTTATACATTACGCTGGCAGCTGTAACTTGGGTTAATTTTTCATTTACGAATGAATCACGCAAGCCGTAATGTCCTAATAAGGTCGCACATAAGAGGCTCACGCAGCCGTTTAATATGAAGACGACACTCGATGAAAGTTCAATATTGAATATAGTAAATCGAGAGACATTTCCACTTGCCTATCGTACATGTCTAGACACCACTGCGTCACCTCTGCTTTGCAGAGGTATTTGAGGGAAAACTTACGTTTTGCTTGTCTCGTAAATTAACTCTTACTGAGCGAACTGAACGATTCATAACTGAATGAACCTTGCTATCAGGTTTTTAGACGCTTCAAATTATTGTAAAATTCCTCATTGTAATTTCATAACAGACCGATTTCACAGACAGACAGGTTAGCGGTTTGTTGTAAGTTGTGGTATTTCCATACTCGTTCACTCACTCGTGCTCGAGCAAAATTATGCAGAACTTGTTCCAATGCTGTTTATCATTTAAGTGTCAAATACAGCTACTTGCTTGCTTTGCTGATATTTTTGCCACACACTGCGAAACAGAGCAGCTTTTGCATTTACTAACAGTTCCATATCCAATACTTTGATTTCATTCAAAATCCATGCCATGAAATGATTTTCTTCTTAGCAAGTTACTGTGTGAATTAGTAAAATTCAATTCCAGTACAACGAGAGAAAGTGATGAGATGAAGATAACATTATTGCAATGATTGAGATTTTCTAAGAATTGGCAAGGGTAATCTTGCTTTTGCTTCCCTTTCATACTTCGTGTAATCATAATGGTCCTATGCTCCTAGTGTGCCATCTGTAACCT